TTTTTTTTTTTTTTTTTTTTTTTTGGTGAACAACAAGATGTGGGGAAAAGAAATACCAAGTCTGTTTTTGATTGGTGGTTGTCGAAACCAAAAAAAAAAATGAAGTACTTTAAGTCGTTCGTATTGGCCGTCCTTTCTTTTCCGGTCAATAGAAAGCCCCTCGAGTACTTCATTTCTTTCTCAAAATATAAGGACTTCATGCTTGAACATGGGAACAGTCACAGGAGGCAGTCCCGTCGGGCACACCAAGGGACTCCACTCCCTCTCTGTGGTACGTGAGACTCGGACTGCAATCGTCACGTAGCACTTGTCATAGGTGCACCCTCAGGCAATAAAGAAAGATGGAAGAAGTGAATCTGGCTACTTTCAGCGAGGGATACATTCATCCACTGTCCATTCTACTGTTCAAGAAGATGGTACAGCCTTTTGCAGCACTTCCAAAGGTCGGGCTCATCCCCACCTTGGGACTTGAGAAGTTACCACTTTAATTTTCTTTTTTCCCTTTTCTTCGTTTTTCTGGAGTGTCGCAGGCGTCGCACCAGGCCATGACTCGTGTGCTAGTGGAACCGTGCCCCGGGGCACGGTTCCACTAGCACATGAGTCATGGCCTATTTGGACCTGTGCGGCACTGTAAGAAAAGGAAGAAAAGTAATTTTAAAGACTTCAAAAAAAGAAAAATGGCGACGGTACATTTCCCAAGATGGGAAGAAGTCAGACTTTTGAAAGTGCAGCCGTCCCACTAACCCTCCCGTCTCCACCCTCTGCTCCCCACCCAGCCAATACCTAATCAGGACAGAGTGGTACGTGACTGTTGCAGTCTCGCATACCACCTCGAGGGAGTCCCTTCGTGTGCCTGATGGGACTCCCTCCTCTGAGGGTTGCCATGCTGAAGCGTGCATTTCGTATATTTTGAGAGAATCGAAGTACTGGATGGGGTTAACAATTGACCTGGAAAAAGAAGAGGGTCAAAATTATGGCCTTCGAGTACGTGATTTTTTTTTATCGTTTGAAGAGCTGCCAATTAAAATGAGTCTTTCTATTTTCTTTTCCCGCCTTGGGAACTGGAAAGAAAAAGCACAAAAAAAAGAAAAAAAAAAACACCACTTCAGAATATAAATCCCTCGCAATTTTGCTGCCATCCGATTCTCCTGCATCAGTGGTCGGACGATGTCCCGCAGATGTCCCAAAGGTGTCTGTGGGACACGGTTTACCTTACTCCTTTGCTAGTGGAAGCGTGCCCCCGAACGTATGGGACCCCTTGGGGATGCGTTCGGCCGTTCGGGCCGAACGCGGACCCAAAAAAAAAAAAAAAAAAAAAAAGTCATCAAAGAAATCTGAAAAAAAGATATGTTATGGAGAAAAATAAATTAAACAAGATTTGCCTGAGCATTACATCCGAATYCCTTACCAAATTTGAAATAAAAATAAAATACGGAAAACAAATACTAATAATAAAAATAAATAAAAATAAAAAGAGAATTAAATTTAGTGAGCGCTCGAGCATGTTTTTGACACCGCCATCTTTGGCGATTTTTCATTTTTTTTTGGCATAGCTAAATGCCCTGAAAATTTACAGATGTGTACTTCACATAATACAAAACCTACTAAAAAAGTTTCGAAAAATAATAAAATTGTTTAGACCCCGAACTGAAGTGAAAACAAAGAGTAAAAGGTGAAAAAATACGTGGGGGAGAACGTTTTGACACTGCCATCTTTGGCGATTTTTAATTCTTTTTTGGCTTAGCCAACTGACTTGAAAATTTACAGGCATGTACCTCACGTCATAGAGAACTCACCAAAAAAAATTCAGAAAACAATAATTATTTTTAGGCCCCGAAATATTTTTTGGCGGGGGCCGAACGCTGTCGGGTTCGGACCCCGTACGGGACCCCGAACGCCGGTACGTACGGAGGTCTGCCTGGGGACCTCCATGCGTGCGTATGGGCTGGCGACCCTGATTTTTTTATTTTTTATTTTCGTTTTTTTATTATTATTATTTTTTTGACCGGCCATGGCCTTGAGTTCTGGTTATGAAACTGACTGGCTCTCCTAGGTCATTCAGAATTGCAGTATGTTCTGTAGCTGCTTTCACTGAAGTTCGAGCTCGGGCCTGTATTTAAACAGCTCCAGGTGGCATCAACTGAGCTATGCCTTCCAGCTGCCGATCTTCCCCATTTCCAGCTGCTGTCTGCGCGCACCAATTAAAACCTATCGACTGTTTCCATCAGGCAATGAAATGTCAAAATGTGATGCAAATTTGGATGATCAAAAGACTGCAAATGGAGAGAGGAGGCTCGGTTCTTGCGCGGTGATGGTTTCGATCACGTCAATAGCAGTGTCAGGAAACCCTGGCGATGTCATTTTCCGCAATGTAGAGCACCTAAGAGTTGTGCTGGCTAATCAGCCCAAGGTTAGCATAGCGTAGACTTCGTTTGTGGATTCTGGTGCTCCCGATCATATGCCAATAGCAGCGCTGGAAATCCCTGGGAAAGTCTTCTTCGATACTAACGAATCGATAGTGTATTCTTGATTTGTTCATCGTGATGGTCACAATCATGTCAACAACAGCGCCAGAAAATCCTAGATAGCCCTAGGCAAGTCGTACTAGATGGTGTGTTTCTTGGTTTGCGCATTGTGCCAGAAAACCTTGGGAAAGTCATATTTGATAGCGTTTTCTTGATTTGTGTGTTGTGGTGGTCCCCATCCTGCCAATGGTAGAGCCAGAACTCAGAGCTTTTGTGTTGTGTAGTCCATTCTCTCTGCCATGTACGTGCACGCTGCGCAGGTTTTGGGCCATGGAGTACTGGAGCTAAATGGCTTGTCGCACCAACCAAAAACAACAACGTGCCTGTGCATTTTCTTTTGGCCCGTGCAGGTGTTGCCAGGCTTGCCAAGGGAGAAGGCCAAAAGAGTGACAACGAGAGTCCTGGGTCGGAATTTCAGGGTGTAACCATCAATATAAGCAGCCTGCTACAAACTTCATGCCATACACAAGGGGGGCGTACTTTTCTTGGATGTACTGACTTGCCTCGGAGCGATTTAATTTTTTGTCTGGGTGCAAAAAAAATTATATGCCTGGGGCCTCGTCCCACTAGCGTCGATTTACTCTTCGGCTCCATGGTTTTCAACCACGTGCGGCGCGAGGTGACATCCGGCGACCCTTGATCCTTTTGTGTATCGTCGGAGCAGGTCGATAAGGACCTATTTCGTTAGGGTACCTGTCCGCCGGCCAATAGAAGAGTTTCCTTTTCATTTTTTTGCCCATTTAGCTAGCCACTTTGCGTTGGCGCGAAGCTGCAATATTAGGGAGGTCGGAGGGGGGGGGCRTTTTTGCATCRAWGTTGTTTTCTTTTTTTATGTGGTAAAATTGAGAATATTGAGATTTCCGTGGAAGACTGCGAAAAGGCCGGCGGGAAGGTCGCATGCAGATGTACCAGGTTGGTGGAAGTGTGGATGCACTGAAGCTCTTTCATGATGTCGATGTCAGGCCCCGCAATTTTTCGTTTTTTGGGTCCTTTTCTTTGCATTCGTGTAAATGATAAAAAGCATTGTTTACGAGTTTTTGAATGAGAAAAGAACGCCACACACCGATGTAATCGATGCTAGTGGGACTTGGCCCCTGGCAACTAGGCTACCGGAGTGGCCCGGGGTCAATTGCCCGGCCGGGCCAAAAAAAATAAAAAAAATAAAAATAGAAAAAATATTTTTAAATTTTATTTTTTATTATAAATTTGATGAAGAATTTCGATGTGATCCTGAGGCAAAAGTTGTTCACTGTATTTTGCTGCATAACACGTTTTTTTTTTCGGGATTTTAGTTGTTGTTGTTGTTGTTGTTGTTTTTTTTTTTTTTTTTTTTGCTGGGACCTTCCCTGGTCCTTGCACGGGGTGGCCACCCGAGACCTGGGCGGCCCGGCCTGGCAAACAAAAAAAATGACGACGGTTGTGATGGATTGTACGTTCATGAATGTGGGACATTGACCATTAGAGAAACATCGCAACTGCTCAAATGCTATGCTTAAACCACCAGTACCTTTCCTATATGTCGGCCGCATGCCCTGTGCGCCAAGCTTTGCGGGTGCAGCTGACCACCCCCGCTAACTGGATTCGGCCTCCGCGTTACCCGGCACGTCCACAAGCGGTTAACGGGTAGCTGAAAATTCATGAATGAAAATTCTGAAGTGAGGTGAAGAGTGTCCTGAAGTGGTGATGAAAAATACGACTGTTGTTAACCTTCTCTCCTCCTCTTTCTAACCCCTTCTCATCTTTCAACCCCTTGTCATACAATCCGTTTTGCCTGGATGGATGTACTGCGGGACGGCCACCGGGTACTTCCCGAGAGTCTCCGTAGCATTTACACGCCACAACTTCTATTTTATAGCTCGGCAACTACTCATGGCTTAAACGCCTATTACTTCTTTTGACTGCAAATGTCGTATCAAATCATCGTTGTTTAAAGTTTGCAGCTTTGTAAAGCGGCATTGTTTTTCTCAACTTTTTCAAGCAGGAATACATAGCAAGATGCCAAGACGAGTTCTTCCGTCCTGATACATAGTAAGTAACATATTTACAAAAAGAAGATTAAAAACACTTCCTGTGAGTTCCAGTATTTTTGGTCCTTTTGACTGGGTTCAGCTCCTTATCCATTTGTTTGACATCCGAAAATATATTATGGGACAATTGCCTTATTTAGGTTCGTGCTCCACAAATTTACGGCGAGGGTGTCCTCAAGAGTACACAGGGCCCCACGGCGAAGTTGGCTGCCTAACAAGCAACCCAGGTGGATTCCCCCGCTGAAGAGGTGCTCACTCAAATTCATGACGAGGAACCCCTGTCTCATCCCAAGTTATTTCGTTAAAGATTGTTCTGTGCATTGAGCCGCAATTCCTGTCCAGTCGACGAACATGTCCACTGCTTTTCAGTTGTCAAGGGGCACCATTTTCGTAACCCCCCACGTGTTCGAATGAATTTGGACCGGAGGGGCAGGCCGAATTCGGCTACCGCGTTACCTGCCGGGCCAACCGGTAGGTACTACCGTCTTCCCCCGACAGAAGGCACCCTTATTTTGGCTGAATCTGGCCTGAAATATAGCTTGTATACATTGATTTTTAGGGTGCGTTATGTTCGGGGGAAGACGGTAGTGGTGTGAGGCACAAGTTCGGGCCCCATGCCAGCCAGCGAGAAATGTGGCAGTGCACAAAAAGGAGGCCACAAAAGTTTTCACCTTCTGGACCCAAAGCAGGTCCCCAGAAGGTTGCCGGGATTCTGAGGGTCTCACCGCACGGCACACGAAACGAAAACGAAACGAGTGCATCTGGCCACGAAAGGCGGCAAAATACACTCGGTACTAGTTATAGCAAACAGATGAACCTGGCCATTTTCTGCGGGAAGATTCACTAGTTTCGTTTTCCGTTTCGTACCCCAACTCATGTGTTATCAGCCACTCACTGCATACTTCAGATTCTTACGGGTCTGATGAGGAGGTCCTTAGTCCAGGGTGTGGTGAAGGAGGTTGTGGAGTCGACACTCAGGATATTTCTCCATTTCTCTATTAACCCGGGGGGGGTTGGGATCTGTAGTCTGCAAGCCAAGGTCATAACCGAATTTTACGTCGTATCCGACGATCGTTCTTTGCTCTCCCCGTTTTCCTCCGTTTCATATCCATTCCTTTGGGTCAAATTCCATGTCTTCTTCTTCTTCTTCTTCTTCTTCTTCTTCTTCTTCTTTTTTTTTTTTTTTTTTTTTTTTTTTTTTTTTTTTTTTTTTTTTTTTTTGGTATGGCGAGTTCTGGTTGAAAGACAATCCATGGTTTGGCCTGTGATATACTCTCAACTTTCCTGAGTAGGAATGTTTCTAGCAGCTCGGATTAGGGATCCGCGTTCTGTACCTCCCGTTCCTGAAGACTGTATTTGGAAATGGGATATGATATGAATTTTGATTGGTAGTTGGAAGCTTCTGATCGCGTGACAAGTCGGTAGGATAGGCTCTCAAGGGTGGGGTCTGAGAGATGAGTAGGCCCCAATCGCCCGGTCTCCAGGATAATTTTTCTCTTAGGAGGGCTGTCCATTGTGGTCGAATACTCAGATGTATCAAGGCTAGGTTGAATTCAAGAGAGTGACACCCCTTTCAAGGGAATGCAAAGCTCTTGTTCTGTTCGCCATATACCCGCTTCCTTCGACCAGGAATTGCGGAAGAGAGGCTGTCTGAGGACTTCTTCTTTGTTGATGCCAGAAAATGCGGAGATGTTTGATCTGCCAGACTCCTCTCTCTATCCAGGAGAGCCATCTCCGATCCTTGACGCCTCTGTGTCTGAAAGCCATGGATTGCGGAAGTTTGGTGCACTGTGTTTGCTGGGTGTCAGTTGGCGCCAGGCTTTTAGAGTAGGGGTTCCGTATGGGTTTGGAATGGGGGTGGGCTTTTTTTGTCGGCTGACAATTGGTCCTCCTTGCTGTCCTTCCTGTTCTGATTGTTCATTATTTATTCATGGTCCAGAAGGTGTTCTCAACCAACCTCGTATGTTCCCAGGTCCCGGTGGAGAGCTTACTGGTGCCAGGCTCCTTATGCTGTCTGGAGCCTTTTTTTTTTTTTTTTTTTTTTAATAAAACAACCCGAACAGGTGCTAGGGATGCTGTGTGGAGCCAATTTGGTCCATGGGAGAAATTGTTTGGTTAAAAATTAAAATTATAATTACCCATTTCATCTGCAGGGCGGTTGCTTCCTGTTTTGGATCTACCTTTATTCCCAAGCCGCCTTCTTGCGGTTCCCTGATGACGTGCTCTGCCAGGCCACCTTGTCAAACCACCAGTACTTTGGCCCAGCTATCGGCCATGGAAAAAAATAGAGTAGAAACATTTCCAGTCGGATGAATTTGGACGCTCCTGTAGTGGCCCGCACGTTTCCTAAAATGGTGGCTCGTTAACGGGCACGACATTAGAAAGTACTGGTGGTTTAATACAGGGGGTTCTGTTTGGGTCACCCGTTCATAAGAAACATCTGGTTCTTGTTGCCTTAAAAAGTCTTAAGCCACCAGTACTTGGCCCAGCTATTGGCCGCGGAAAAAAAAATAGAGTAGAAACATTTCTAGTCACATGAATTTGGGCGCTCCTGTAGTAGCCCGAACGTTTCCTAAAATCGTGGCCAGTTAACGGGCACCACTTTAGAAAGTACTGGTGGTTAAAGGTCGTCGGGGGTGGGGGGGGGTGGGGGGGACCAAATGGATGCCATGTACCAGTAGAAAAAAAATCCCTGTCTATGAGCCATTGGTGTGTGTCCCTTCGTCTCGCCTCATCCTGTTTCAATAGGAGCAAATAATTCCATTCGACCGCTTCTGACAGGCGGTCTGTGGAGAGGAGGGAGTTGTTCAATCTGTAAAAGCGCTGTCCTTTTTCCACCGGGGAACTGAAATTTACGAGCAGCTTGATGGGTTTGTGGTCCAGCCACTTTTTTTTTTTTTTTTTTTTTTTTGTGGTCCAGCCCCTTGTAAGCGGCTGCAGGCATAATTTCGGCCTTCGTCCTCCTTCTGGGGAAAGGAGTGCAGAGGGTTGGTCCTATATTGGGGCTGAGGGAGAGCGGGAGGCTTGCCTCGGCGGAGGCAGTGTAGGGCTGAGGGGGG